CCTGGGCTCTGTTCTCTGCTGCTCCAGGCACTGCTTCAACCAGTATGAGGCCTAGTGTGTCCTTATGTGCTTGACCATAAATACATAGAAATTCATAATTAATGTTCAGCCATCAAAGATTAATCTGGTGTTTGATTACCGGCTTGTTTGCCAGAGTAATAGCCATGGCCCTTCCTCTGCTAGATGCTGTTTAAACTCTTTGACTAAAAACTTAACAGTTGTTTTAGAGCAGTTTGGTCTAAAATTTGTGATTTCCTGGATGCAAAGAGCCAAAGGGTGCAGCCTGGTTGCGTGCACGGCCGGTTCGTGGGTGCGATCGTCCCTGGGGTGTGGGACCCCCGGTCACACCATCGCCGAGGGGTTTGGGGAGCACGGCCACCCAGCCCGCTCCGCAGGGCGCTCATGGGTTGAAGGACAGACACTAATGCCATCTAGTGACCAAAAAAATGCGAGGTGGATATTTTATAAAATACCACTGGAAATCTTATAGCTGAGGTGGGACAGGCCTTGGGGCTGGGAGGGAGGGAGATGGTTCTGGGAAAAGAAATTATTTTTCCTGCTCTCCTGCCCTGTCTCTTCCTTCATTTCACAGCCCACGAAGGGCTTCTGCAGGTGACCAGGGGCTGGGATCTCCCTGGTGAGGCTTTGTAGATCCCGGGGGAGCAAGGTGCGGGCTTCCGAAGCAGCTCTGTTCGTTGGGGAGCACAGATTCCCCGACTGAGCTGCTGGATCGTGGAGCACAAACCCAACGCCCGGGGACAAGGTGACTGCGGGAGGGGAGATGGCTTGCTCCTCTCCGGACGCGGACATCACGGGCAGAGACCCTGGGGACTAATTAAGCTGGCAGCATGACCTGCGATGCGGTGCCGTTGCTGCAGTGCTGAGCTGAGCTGAGACGGGACGAGGGATCACAGCTTCTGCCTCTGTCCTGGCAGCGGCGACTCGTTACCGCGGCTCATATGACCTGAGATGTTTTTTTCCTCCCACCACCTTCATTTCTCCCTTTTGCTTCTATAGGCAATAGCTGTGAAGGCCTTACCGTGCTGGCTTTCCACGCGAGTGGCTGGCTGGAGACGCCGTTGCTGTGTACCTAGTTATTAATCCAGCCAGCTCGTGGTGCCACAAACCTGGAGGTTTGCACTCTGCATTTTAAAAATGAAGGTGGGCTGATTTCTGGCCATCAGAGTTTGTTCTGCTTGGCTCAGCTGTCATCGGCAGGTGCGCTTCACCTTGCTCAGGGCTGGTGGTCTCTGGGAACGTGTCACAGCTCTGATTGTTTCTCCAGCTCCTGAGAAATGCATAGGGAGAGAACTTGGGAATTAAAATTTTCCAGCAAAGGAACTTGAGGGCTGAGGTGGTTGCAATGAAGCGCGTTACGGATGCACCGAGATGGCAGGCAGCACCCCAAGAGAGCTGTGGGACGTACACCATCGCTGAAGGAGAGCGAGCAAAGCACCCAGATGCGAATAAGCTCCTTCATGGGACAGAATCACCGAATCCCAGAATGTTCGGGGTTGGAAGGGACCTCTGTGGGTCATCTAGTCCAACCCCTCTGCCAAAGCAGGGTCACCTACAGCAG